TGGCACAAATTTATTTTAACCATTAGATCGCACCATTTCATATTTAATGGTCTAGATAGCACCGTATCAAAAATTCACACCCATTCCAAAATAACGTGACTCTTTGATATAAATCATTTGCAATTGAAGAGTTGTGTCCAGTAATCACACATGTTGAAGACTTTTTCAATTCACACATTTAAATCATACTAGGTGCAAGCAACGTGCAATGCACGTTTGCGTAATTTATATTTAATAGTTTTGTTTAAGAATTAATTTGTTATTAATAAAAATGTAATTTTTTTGGTTAATTAAATAATTAATGATGTAATGTTTATGTAATTGATAAATAATTAGATGTGTGATTTTGATGTTGTGATGTAAGTCGGTGAGATCGAAGAAAATAAGCAAAAGTTGACAAATTTGGAGAAAGGGCTAGATTGTAAGGGATCCAAAGTTCGGGGACTAAAATGTAAAAACTTAAAAGTTATGCCAAACCTCACGATGAAGATTTGAGAGTGCTCGGAGTCAATTGGATAAAGGAAGACGTCAATGGAATCAAATTTAGGCAAAAGATGATCACAAATCAATTTCCAACCGAAAAGTTATACTCCGATATTTTAGTATCATATTAAAACCTATTTTTAGCATAGAAAGTGATCGAATTGGAGAATGATGTCTGAATCATAATTGTAGCCAGATGAGTTAGCTTTCCAACGCATTTTGAATCGCGTCAATCGGACATTGGAATACAAAGTTATGATAAAAATACTGAAAGAAGGTGCAGCTGCCTGTTTAAAACAAGAAATTCCGTTACATAATCCGTTACAATAACAAATTCCGTTAGTTTTTCCGTTAAAAACAAGAAATTCCGTTACATAGCCACTTTTAATATATACAAGTTCCGTTAGTTTTTCCGTTAAAAACAAGAAATTCCGTTACATAGCCACTTTTAATATATAGAAGATATATTGAACCATTAATTCCAACAACTGAAGCAACACCTACTTTATGGCAAGTGGAATAAGTGCTCTTTCGGCCAAACCAAGGTTGAATACCTAGGCCATATAATTACTGCAGAGGGTATGGCTGCTGATCCTATGACTGTAGAGGCTATGGAAAATGGCCTAGGCTGCTAAGAAACTGAGAGGGTTTCTAAGATTTTGACAGTTTACTACATGACATTTTTCAACGTGTTTGGGTCTCTACCTTTCATTGAATTATTAAAGAAAGACGACTTCTTGTGGATTGGGGCATCTAAATTGGCATTCACAAACTTAAAGTAGTTAGAGTACCTTACCAGTCTTAGCTCTTCCCGATTTTTAGCAACTATTTCTCATTGAGGCAGATGCCAGCTATGGAGGATTGGGATGCAAAATAAAAGACACTTTGACTTGTATACGCAAAAACATTAGCACAATGAATATGGGGTTATCTATATATGAGAAAGAGTTGTTGGTACTAGTCATTGTTGTGGGCAAGGTGGCTACGTTACCTGGAGGGACACAATTTCATCATCAAAACGGATCACCAGTCTTTTAATTAAGAACCTTCTTGAGCAAAGAATTATCACACATCTCCAACCCAAATGGCTAAATAAACTTTTGGGACTCATCTATGAGATATAGTACAAAAAGGAAGTAACACCCTGAATTCTAACAACCCGACGCATTACTAAAAATAAGTTTCTTAACGTTAAAAGTTCGATTAAATAATTCAGAAAAGTGTCAAAGTTTGATGTTCTTAATACATAATGGAAGAACTTATATTTTGTTAATATAGACTTAGAAAAATATGGCAAAATGATTTTGAAAAGGCTAAGAAAATTTCAGCATGCTGGTTTCTTTTTCCAGGTCACACAGTGAGTCACGAAAATTATTTTGACCTAGCAAACACCCGCTGAAAATTATGAACAGAGAGCACAAAAGTCAAATACGTACAACATATAAAAAATGGAATCCGGACGACGGTGTTTGAGGAAATAAAACATTTTCAAAGACGCTAAGACTGATTCCAAGTTACGGTTTAATGCAGTTTACAAAAAATGAATTATAAGCTCTACAAGCCTCCAATCAACATGTTTTTTCATAAAAGGGCTGTTTTTCAACTGAATCATCTTGTTATTGATATGATAATTCTCGAAAGAAGTTTTTACGGGATCCTGTCCACCAAAATTTTTACTTCTGGTTTGCCAAGAAGTTTTTACGGGATCTTAGCCACCAAATTTTTTACTTTTGGTTCCGGCGAACGAATAATTATTGAGTCCTCCTCTTTCCGGACAACACATACAAAGAGACCAGCCAACAGCAGCAAATGAATGAGGGTTCTGGGAAGGATAAAGATTTTTTTTCTTTGATTAAATGATTCTAGCTCCTTTAATAATTAACTATTAGGCCCAAATAAATAAAAATATGAATTTTATACTTATTTTCCACTTTAGTCCCTAAAAAGCATAAAGAATGCCCAAATCATAATCCTTACCATCTAGTGATCCTTCTCATCACTAAATAGTCTTGACATGTCACATTCTCGTCTGAAAAAATATTTCTTACCATTTGCAATCTAGTCCCTTAAACCTAGCACTTTTTGCATTTAGGATCCAATCTCAGATTTAAGATTAAAAAAACCTACTATGACGATTACGAGAGATCACTGCAATATTCTAAAGACTTAAAATTATTATTCTTATACTTTCCATGATTTTCACTTTATTCCTCAAACTTTCCAAAATTCTCTAAATTACCCAAAACTTGACTTTTCGCAATGATAATCGCTTGATATTATTATTTGCAGTACAATAATATTTTTCAACTGAATGGATTATTTTGCTAATTTGCACTTAGTTCCTAAACTTTTTTTTAATGGGAAAATAATTTATTCATGAAGGCAATTAGCCCGAAGAAGGTTACAATAGCGTTTATCAATGAAAATAACATTTTCAATGACTAAAGGGACACTATGCCGCAAAAGTACCATATCTTGAAGGGACCATGCATGTTGTGCCAAGTAGTGAGCAGCTTGGTTACTAACTCTATTGCAGTGATAGAGGTTGTAATGGGCGAATCGTAACATGAGCTCCTTTATCTCAGCTACCAGGGGTCATATTGATGCTGACGTTAACACTGGTTTGTTGATTTCATTTACAAGAAACAAGCAATCGCTCTCCACCAGTAACTTAGGAATGCCCGGGATGAGACATAGTTGCAATCCTCTCACAATTGCTGCCGCTTCAATGTATTCAGGTTCAAGGATTACAGTTTTCAGAGCCACTAGCAGCCATAACTACTTCTCCTTCATGATCCCGAAGAATAATACCCAGTCCCGCCTTATTAAAATCGAAGAACAAAGCACCATCAACATTCAGCTTGAAGGCATCTTGTCCTGGTGCAGATCATCTATATTTTTGAGATAATACTCCAGAAGCAGATTTTTGAGGAAGGCTCGATTCAGTTGCAGATTTATTGGCTAAGGGAGTGGCGATAACTTGTTGAGGTGGGAGATCAATCTGATCATGGATCATTTTATTTCACCAGTACCAAAAGCCCCAAGTAATAAGTAGAAAGTCCATGAGAGCATCCTTTGATATTGTTGACAATATATCAGTAGCTACTTGCATGAAACCTCCTGGATAATTTGTATGTTGTAATACTGGGAATCGACTGGTAAGGTGTTGATGGATAGAGGGACAATGAAGTAGGACAAGGCATAAATCTTCCACTTGGTAACCACAAAAACAGCATTGGGAAGCACGAATTTTTCAGCGAAGTAGATTTTGTTTTGACGGCAGACTCTCTTGACAGGCTCTCCAAGCAAAGACCTTTATTTTTTGGGTAATTTTCAGCCGCCACATCGTATCCCAAAATATCTTCTTCTCAGCAAAATTCAAACAGCTGCAGTGATCTGGAGTTAGGCAGGTTTTGAAGAATCTGTATGCGCTACTCATGGAGTAGATACCAGATTTTTCGTGTCCCCAAGACCATACATCCTCTTCTCTCGCAACACTTGGTTGTAACTTCAGGATAGCCTCAACAATTTTTGGATTGAATAGAGTTCTGAGCTTTGCCAAATTCCACGACCCCAGGTTGGGATCAATTAGTGTGAAGACTAAACAATCGTGTTGCTGTCTATAGATGCGTTGAAAATCAGCCCCTAATTCCTTGCTCAATTATGTCGCGAGAATATATGTGGTACTTCCATTTCCCACGATCCATCTTCCTCCTTATATCAAAATATTTTTAGCCTCCCAAATTCCACGCAAAGCATATGAGGGATTACCACCTAAAGATGCCTTCAATACATTACCGTCAAAAAAGTAGCTGGTTGAGTATATTTTGTGAACCAAGCTATCCTTGTGGTGCAAGAGCCTCCAAGCTTGTTTACCAAGCATGGCCAAATTAACAATCTCCAGCTCCTTAAAGCCCATGCCGTCCATGGATTTCGACTTACACATATTATCCCAAGAAAGCTAGTGAACTTTCCTTTCCTCCGTCCTTTGGCCCAACCAAAATCGAGCCATCATTTTCTCAAGTTCAATGCATAATGTGGAGGGGAGTTTGAAACAACTCATAACATAGGAGGGTATTGCTAAAGCCACTGATTTGAGGAGAACTTCTCTTCCTTCTTGGGAGAATATACTACTTTTCCATCCTTGCAATTTCAGCCAGACTTTGTGTTTTATTTCAGAGAATGCTCAAGATTTACATCTTCCCACCATAGGTATCAATCCAAGATACTTTTCGCATTGCTGCACTTGCGGAACGTTCCATAGGGCCATAATTGATCGCTGATCATCTTGCTTTACATTAGCACTGAATACCATTGCAGTTTTATCTCTATTAAGTTGCTGACGTGACGTCTCTTCATAAGTACTTAGGATAGCCTACAATCGAGTAGTAGCTAATTCATTTGCTTCACAAAAAATCAAGTTATCATCCGCAAAGAGAAGGTGATTCAATGTTGGAGCTCCCCAACATATACGAATACCAGTTACATGATTTCTCCTTTCAGCTTCCTTCAATAGACTAACCAATCCTTTGGTGCATAGAAGAAATAAGTAAGGAGAAATAGGATCTCCTTGCCTTAAACCCCTAGAAGGCAAAATATGACCAGTTGGAGAGCCATTATTGATAATTGAAAAAGAAGCGGTAGTGACACACTTCATCACCAGATTAATAAAACTTCCATGAAAGCCCAATTTGTGCATAACCGCTTCAAGGAAGGACCATTCCACTCTGTCATAGGCTTTGCTCATGTCAAGCTTAAGGGACATGTAACCCTTCTTACCCTTCTTCTTTCTCTTTAAAAAATGGAGCACTTCATACGCTACAAGTACATTGTCTGAAATAAGTCTCCCTTTAATGAAGGCTGATTGTGTTTCCGAGATCACCATAGGAAGCACTTGTTTTATCGTGTTCGCCACAACCTTGGAGACCAATTTATAAAGGACATTACAAAGGCTGATGGGTCTGTAATCCTTGACTCTTTGGGGATTTTTTGTCTTAGGAATAAGAGTAATAAACGTATGATTTACATCTTGGGAAAATTCACAAGTATTCAAAGCATGTAAGGCAGCATTAGTTATAGAAGGGCCAATATGAGGCCAAAACTTTTGGAAAAAAAAAAAAGGAGGCATACCATCAAGACCTGGGGTATTAGGATGCATTTCATGCAGTGCCTGAGAGATTTCAGTTGCTGTGAAAGGTTGAGTCAGCTTTCCATGTTGGTTAGAACAGCATCTTGATTTCTGGAGCCATTAGAGGCGAACAGATCAAAAAAATAGTTGATGATCAGCCGGTCGCATGCTTCTCCCTCCTGCCAGCACCTCGATCATCCAACAGTTTTGTAATTGAATTTTTTTCCTTCTTTGGAAGGCTTTTGCATGGAAGAAATGTGTGTTCTGATCTCCTTCTTCGAGCCAAGCAGCCCTTGATCTTTGTTTCCACATGATCTCCTCTCTGTTCATCCAAGTTTGCACTTCTTCAGCAGCTTTTTGAAGAGCATTGGTGTTGATAGTTGTTGGATTCTTATTTTGGATTTGAGCTAGCTTTGATCTGGCTTCCTTAAGCTTCACCTGCACTTTGCCGAATGTAGTTTGGTTCCAAGATTGAAGGTGAGTGCTGCATCGGCGGATATTCCTCTTGATATTTTCCAGGTTTTGAGAGCTGGTTTCAGACCACTGAATTCACACAATGTTGGAGCATTCAGTTTCACCTAGCCACATTGACTCAAAACGAAATGGTTTAGGTCCTTTTAGTTCCTAAACTTTTTAAAGATATGCTAATAGACTCAAAAACTTCTTCAGTTGCTATCTATGCTACTCATCACACTCTCTAAAGTTTTGGAGTTTTACAAGACAAAAGTTATTAAGAGGCATAATCATGTAGTTACTCAAATGGATAGTCCAATGGCAAGGATTATCAATAGACAAAGCAGAATGGGCAGATGCAAAACTAATTCAAGCCAAATTTCCAGATTTTTAACCTTGGGGACAAGTTTTATATAAGGAGGAGGATGTCACGAGGGAGGGAATAAGATGGAACCACTTGGGGCAGGAGAAGAAGACGAATACCCGGCATAACAGAAATTCAGATTGACATGAAGTGAAGTGATGTAGTTTGGGTTTAAGTGTCTTTTACTTACTAATAAATTAATGAGCAAACATGTTTTTTCTCGTAAGTGTTTGCTTTAGTTACATTTAGCATCTTTGTCCATTGGAAGTGAGATCATTCTAAGGTGGAGGAGGGAATCACCATCACATGATTTATTATGATTTATATCTGAATTTACCTGAAATTCCTTCACTCCATCTTCTCGGTTTCTACCTCTTTTTCTAATTTTCAGTTTATTTTCCCCATTACCAATGAAACTTACAGATTTAGTTTGTCTATTTTATGTTGTCTATGTTCTGTTCTCCTTCAATTTTGATTGGGTTCTTGTTAGTGAACTCCAATCATCACAAAGGAAAAATTCTATGTTGCAAGAGAAATTCATCTACACGTAGTTGGAAGGGTTGCAAGAGTTGAATGTTAGCATTACTCTGACGTCTGACGATTTCATGGGCAGCGGAAAGTGGTTATCTTGGATTTTCGAATTTATCTCATGACTGAGTTTCCTTTTTTAATTTATTGTGTCTAGAGTTCAATTGCAGAAAGTTCTATCTTAGGGTTATAACACCAACTCCTTGTCTATTTAGGACAAGAATCGTCATAATTTTTGGCATAGGTTTTGAGTATTTTCAGCTGTATTACTGGTGGACATTCGGGCTTTCTGAATTCCTAATAAAGGTCCGGCTTCTAATTCCATGGTGATTAGTTAATGAAGGCAATTTTATTATTAAACGTGCTAGCACTGAAATAGAGTAATAATAGGATCTGGCTGCCCAATAGTTTGTATGTGTATTGGGATCAGAAATAGTCGTTCATTGCATGGAATGGAGATGAGCCAAATGTGTTGTAGTAATGTCTCAGTGGGTTTTGTTTTCTCCAACATCGTCATCGAAATTTCTCTTTCAAGGCTCAACTCTACGACTTCCCTTTTAGATATTAGATATATCATCCTATGAAGCATACTTCGATAACACTCAGTTGTAGTATTACTAGAATAGCAAGAAGTTGAAGTAATTGAAATGGACCATGGGGTAAAAATGGGCACCATCCTTTAGATTATGGTGGATGTCATGTCAGCTTGAAAAAAATATACATGGAGGTTGCCAATGTTATTTTTAAGCGAAAGAAACTTGAAACTGAAAACTTGTGTATGCATACAATTTTTAAATGATATTTTAGAATTGTTTGGTCATAACCAATGATTTGTTATTGGGACTTGCATGGCTAATAATACCTAACAGCAGTAACTAGAACTCGAATTCCACTAGCTTGATTGATTTTAATGCTTATAAATAATTTTGTACACATTGTCACGGCCCGCTCATTGCATCACAAAAATGACGGAACTATCTAGAACAACAGTGTCTTGAGGCGAATCCAGAATG